TTCATGACAAGTCCAAAGTCCAAATCCTCACCAGTCCCATAGCAGTCAGGTGACTGCCGTCAGGGCAACAAGGCAGTCAACAAAGCTTTTCCACCCCTGGCGGTCCTCCGCTAGACTTGTTACCTGGTTTAAGAGTTGTCATGTCCGCTCATTCAAGTCGCTGGTCCAAGTCCTTCGTGGACGCATATCTTGAAGTGCATACAGGAGAGGGACCAGCAAATCGTCATGCGCAGAAGTAGAAGTGTGTACACCGATATGTGATATATTTTGGGACTTTTTACCGATGATATTTTTTGGATAGCATTTTCCAATCTACTTTGTATAGTATTAAAAATATAATCCAACATGTAATCAGAAGACGTGGTGAGGGCACACTCAAGTTTTTTTTTAACTTATATTAATGCCGCCACCAACATAGGGGACAAACGCAATACTCATTTTTACCTGGGCGAAGTGAGGAAAGTCATGTAAAGTGCTTTTCTCAAGGACACAAGGTCGATGGCATGTCAGGACTCGAACCCGGGACCTATTGGTTCCGAGTTGATGAGCACTCTGCCGCTACGCCACACGATCCCACGACATTTGGCACGGACGTTTGTTTACTAGTTAATCCAGATGAAGGTACACATGCACTTGCTTCACTCATTTAGATACATATCAAGAGAGTCTGAATAAATAAGATCTTTGATCCTTCTTGTTTCTCTATTGTTTCCACAACAAGAACCGCGCTATTTGATCCTTATTCTCTATTCTCAACAAGATCCGCGCCGTGCTTTGGCATTTGAAATTAGATAAGACAATAGTGGAAGACGTACATCAATACCGACATACTGCCACAATTGTGTACTATCACTACCACTATTCGTACCAAAGACACCTGACAAATCCAGCGTTGCAGTGTGGGTAAAGACGAGGTTTGAGATAAAGGTAAATGTATTTCAAAGTATTTCTAGTGTTTTTAGCATAGATTTCAATGGTTGTCCTTATGCTGGTCCCGGTCCTGGAGGTAAAATCAGATTTTTAACTTTCTTTGGCCTCGGTAAAAAGTTGTACTGTGTCATATTTAGGGGAGCGATGCTGATCAAATGTTCGAGTTGTATGTGTGTTTGTGTGTGTGTGTGTGTGTGGTTTAGCAAGGTAACTCATAAAGCGTTTGAAGGATTGTCATGAAACTTGGCAAGTGGGTAGGTGTTAATAAGACCTAGGAATGATTCCATGTTGAATTGCCTGGAGGCTAGTTATGGTACTGCAGCGGAACTTCCGGATTTCATGTCTCATAATCTGGACTTGCTAGGGTCATTGCAGTTTTGATAGTAGGTAACTGTTGTATGACGTTCTGGCCTTTGGACTCTATTTATCTTCGCCAAGAATGTTTTCAGTAGCGTCTGTGTATGTATGTATGTATGTACATATGTATATACATGTACATATGTATGTGTATATGGTTTAGCAGGATAACTTAAGAACCCTTTGATGGATTGTCATGAAACGTAATAGGTAGGTCTTCAAGATACTTAGAAATGATTAGAGTTTGCCCCCCCGCCGATTTTTCTAGGTACTGCAGCAGAACTTCTGGCTTTGATATCTCGTGATCTAGAAACGGGCACAATTTTTGAATGGTAGATAGTTCTCGGGCTAGTGAATAAGTGTCATTAGTTTGGACCCTCTAGCAGCTTGTTATGGAACTGCAGGGCAGGTTCTTAAAGAATATTCGAGGGAGGAAAACTCAAGAACCGGCTGGCGGATTGTCATAATATTCAGTACGTTCGTAACGTAAGTGATACTTGACATATTTAAATGATAATTATGCGAATCGGGAGCTAATTGAGAAATTATAAGAAATTTCTATAAATCTGCTGTATTTCATAATGGGCCTATGAAACCCTTGAGACAAATATAATTACCAATGACAGGTACATAAGAATATATAGATTATGTAAATGAAGACCTTATTTTCATAATTAATGAAATATTGCTGTAATTTTAGGTGATATTATTTGTAGGTGACACCCATAAACATAATTCATTCAATCATAATCAGTCAAGCGGGCATCACTTCCTTATTTGCATAATTTATGAGGAAGCGCTAAAATGGCCTTCTCTGTTACAATACGGCTGTCATTAGGTGGAGAATAAAGGGTTAATGCCCCGCTCAGGGGTGTATATGGTGAGATAATCCCTGGCCAAGTGCAATAACCACCGAAAAAACAAACCGCAAAGCTAGCGGAGCGAACGAGGTGGTTTATGGCCAGGTTATACTACGGATTATAACACCATATACACCGAGGATAAGGTGGGGCATTAACGATTTCATCATATAACCTGACAGCTGACACAGTTATTAGACATAAATTCCTTTAAAAAATTCTCCATTGCCGAAAAAAACTGAAACAAGATCGCATGGACAAAAAAAAAACAGATCATCTAAGCTATCATCTGCGGTTACCGCATTGTGGGTGTCAAAGATGATGTTTAGTCTTTTTCTGTTCAACCCTAAACAGTACACTTGGGTCCGCACGGACCCCAGCACTATATATTCTGTAATATCTTTTTTGTTTCTAAAGATTTTTTTCTGAAATTTTAGGTAATTGTCACCCACAAAGTTGTCTCTCAATACTATGCAGAAAACTCCGTTTCTACCATCTATAAAAAAAATCATATCTGATTTTCTTTTGGGGTCCGCGCGGACCCCAGCCGGCCTTCGATCATAATGGATACACTGTCGTTCTTATACATTACCTTTTTCCGTTTTTATATGTTTTTTGCACTCATCGTATGTCTACCAAGTTTTCAGAGAATGGTGTAGTAATAGAATTAAATTTTAATAACTTTGGTGTAATTATGACGTCATATGATGTCAGAGCTAATAATATATATGCATATTATATGCATATTAAATATTTAACTTATATTTAATTATGTAAGATGTTAATAATGATGGAATAGAAGTGTAATTTAATATAAAACTATGTAAGATGTTAATAATGATGGAATAGAAGTGTAATTTAATATAAAACTCAGAAAATTTTTTGTTTAAACCAAAATTACTTCTATTTAAAAAAAATGCCTGCTAGAAACCCGTTGCCATGGCAACACAAAAAAACTTACTAGTATTAAACTAATATGAACTTTTTTCCAAAAACATTTAAGGAAAGGTCTCCAAATTTGATACTTCTAGCGCAAGCCGTTTAGCCGCTATTTGAGATCAAAGTTGGGCCTCAAAAGCCCCTTCAGTCTGAAATGTGTTTAAAAATCGGGTATTTCTTCTTGTCGTCTTTTCTTCACCAAAAAATAGAAAAAGTTCAAAATGTATGATTTTTGTATGTAATGTGGACACAGAGGTTCCCACATCAGTTTGCAAAACAATTGAGCTGGTAGCATGTTGATAATTTCTAAAAATTAGCAAAAAACTGTTCTGGGGTCCGCGGGGACCCCAGGTGTACAGATTAATCAGTCCGGGAAGGTGTACTGTTGAGGGTTAAATTTTATTGATAACTTTTTATTGTGTTTTATTTTGAAATAAATTATTGACAATAAACTTCAATTCAATTTAACAGATAAACACTACAAGTCTTAACACTATTGTAATTGCCCTGTCCCCTGTTAGCCCTTAATGGTACGGTCCAAAAGTGGTCAGTTATAATAATAACCAACCACTTTTGAGGTTACGGCAAGATAACCAATGACAAATTTAGCCTTCTGTTTGATCGACGCCTTCTGCCTATATCAACTAATATCATCCATGATGGAAATAAAATTATCTTATTTTTTAATTAATTAGAAAATGTATAATTTTGTCGGAATGGTTAACATCCTTTAGCGAAGGTATGTAGTCATAAAACGTAGTAATAAAAACTCTGATTTTCTGATGTTGTTATCCTTAGTCACACCATATCATGATGTTTGTTCGGTCCGTTAGCATCGTATAAAAGAGGATTCTAAAAGAGAACGGGTCGTCAAACCTAGTTTGATTTCGACATATCTTGCAAGCTTGTTGCCTTAACTCTGAACAGTACACCTGGGGTCCGCGCGGACCCCAGCACTATATATTCTGTAATATCTTTTTGTTTCTAAAGATTTTTTTCTGAAATTTTAGGTAATTGTTACCCACAAAGTTGTCTCTCAATACAGTGCAGAAAACTCCGTCTCTACCATTTATAAAAAAAATTATATCTGATTTCCTTTTGGGGTCCGCGCGGACCCCAGCCGGCTTTCGATCATATTGGATACACTGGCGTTCTTATACATTACCTTATTTCCGTTTTTATATGTTTTTTTGCACTCATCGTATGTCTACCAAGTTTTCAGAGAATGGTGTAGTAATAGAATTAAATCTTAATAACTTTGGTGTAATTATGACGTCATATGACGTCAGAGCTAATAATATAGTCCGCCATATTGGATTTTGACCAATGACGTCATCAAATTAGCATATTCTATGCATATTAGATGATTTAAATTATATTCAATTATGTAAGATGTTATTAATGTTGGAAAAGAAGTATAATTTAATATAAAACTAAAAAAAAATTATGTTTAAACCAAAATTACTTCTATTTAAAAAAACTGCCTGCTAGAAACCCGTTGCCATGGCAACACAAAAAAACATCAACTTACTAGTATTTAACTAATATGAACATTTTTCCAGAGACATTTTAGGAAAGGTCTCCAAATTTGATACTTCTAGCTCAAGCCGTTTAGCCGCTATCTGAGATTAAAGTTGGGCCTCAAAAGCCCCTTCAGTCTGAAATGGGTTTAAAAATTGGGTACTTCTTCTTGTCTTTTTTTCTTACACCAAAAAATAGAAAAAGTTCAAAATATATGATTTTTGTATGTAATGTGGACACAGAGGTTCCCACATCAGTTTGCAAAACAATTGAGCTGGTAGCATGTTGATAATTTCTAAAAATTAGCAAAAAACAGTTCTGGGGTCCGCGCGTGTACAGATTAATCAGTCCGGGAAGGTGTTCTGTTGAGGGTTAAGTCAAACATCATTATACTTTCAATTTTTGTACCTCACTCTCGCACTTTACTGAATATGTCGAAGCGTTGAAGCTTCTCCCTTTAGGTCCTTATAAATCCCTAAAGATTAGAAATCTTTAGATTACGATGCATGGTGTAGCGGAACTCTACCTGTATATTTTCAAACCTGTGTAAGTCTAAGTGGAATATATCAACTAGTATGTGCATTTTAGACAGCTCTAGTCAGACGACATGAGTTACCTGCGGGGTCCTGCTGAGGACCCGCTCCTGGACGTGACCTTCGGTCAGCTGTTGGCCGACAAGGCAGCTAAATGGCCGGACCGAGAGGCGTATGTGTTCAAGAAGACAGGTTCAAGGATCACGTTTTCCGACATACAAGACAAGGTAAGATTTCCAGATAAATCCATATTTCCTGCAAAGGCCTCACTGCAGCTGACTTAATGGTGACTTAATTTTCTGAAGACCCAAACCAAAAACCAAAGCAAGCTGGCGAATAAAAATGTTAAGTAAAAAAAAATGGTAACAAACCATACGAGAGCAAAGATGGGATTGCGAATTTGTGGTTGTACATGACTAATTTTACAACAAGCTAGAACATGCTGACCGTTTGTAGAAGTTTAAGAGTCGGCACGAGTGCACTGTACTGAGATCTGTGGTTACCGCCGGCTCCGTATTGCGGGTAGCCACAATAAATTAAGACGGTTGCACCCAAGCTATCCATAAGATAAAATCTTTGTGGCCAAAAATAATCAAGCTAAGCATAAACGAACACCTCTCTGGGTATGTTCGAGTGGATTTGATTTTTTTTCGTTTTGTCATGTTTTCTATATTTTAAATTTCTAGCATAATTTTCACCATTTCTAATAATGAATCAATTCCTGATTCCCCCCCCCCAAAAAAAAAAATCAGCGCCACTCAAACAATTTCACAGTTCCAATACACACCAGAAAATACTTTCGGGTAGTCTAAAATCCTATATTTCTTGTTCAAAATGGATGTATTGGGTTGTGTGGTTGTGTATGTTCTCGCATATTTGTGGCCAGCGTATTTTTTTTTTCAGTTGGATGGATTGTCAATATTTCATGGACGTATGGGATCTTCGAACTCTTGTTCTGATCTAGTTATTTCCGTCCCTCCAGGCAACCAGACTGGCTGCTGGACTCAAGGCCATCGGCACGGCACCAGGAGATGTAGTAGCCTGGCTCTTCGGGCACCGTCCGGAGTGGATATACCTGTACTTCGCCGTGGCCAAGTTGGGAGCTATTGCGGTATCTAAATTCCTTTTCTTCTTATTTTTTTTTTGCTCAGTTAAAGGTCAATGACTGAGACCAGACGGTTTTCACCATGGTAACTGGTTCGGTTTCCTGTCGCAATAGGCTGATCTTGATAAATATGTTTTATAGTTTCTTGTTAGTTAATTAGATTTAATTTGATTATTTTGACTGTATAGAATGATATACAGGCAGGACTGGAAACGTTCTGGAGGTTTTTATTGTTAATTCCATGAAATATAACATGGAAGATTGTTTTTATTTATGTCATTTATATTATCAATTTCCTGTCGTATTGTATTATGCATTTCGTTGTATAAGTGGCAAAGTGCAAATAAAAAATCGAATTAATCAATAATACATATTGCCTTCTGCATTTTCCTACGCAGCATTAACAATGTTCATGAAGGTGCAAAGATCTGCACACGTACACACTCATAATGGATTGATAAAGAAAAGAAATGTAAGAAAACGTATTCATGTATATTGCTGTCTTTTCACAGTTACCTCTGCAGCAACAGCGTATTGGGCGGAGTGTGGAGACAATGAACTACTTCCTTAATAAGGTAATAACAAGCAAGTGGCACGGTAATCTTGTGGGTTGGGCTGTTGACTCAGAACCTAAATGTTTTGGTTTTTGAACCCCTACTACTCCCCCCCCCTGCTCTTCCCTCCGACATGACTACCTAGATTCGCTGAACATTTTACTCAGAATCATCCAATGGTTAATAGTTCTTCAACGTTGGATATGGCTAAAATGCCCATGATGACTTAAAACTGTCAGTATTAGGTATCCCTGGTATGCTGCTTACCAGAGGGGTAAATACTTTGACAACTCAATTGAGGACGTAGCCCCATGCACAATGACTACATACACTTAGTTCACGTTACCTGCTAGACGTGAATAGCTCTATAGAGGTAGGTCCGTAGAATCAAATCAAATCCTTATTAAACATCAACATGGCAGACGTGCTGAAATGCTTCGGGCACGTCTAAATTGCATTGACATTTTACAATTATTAACATACAAACATCATTCATTACAATACGTAGATTAAAAACTTCATCATCATAGAAGTAATTAGTCCACCCATTTAGCAACATAAAACAGCAAAAAACTGCAATACCATGCAAGACGCATCACGAACAGAAAAAAAAAAACGTTACAATCGTTTCCAAGGCAATAGCTTTGTTGAATGTTTTCCACCTCTTTATTGTTTCCAGAGCGGTGTGAAGGTACTAATCATGTGTGACGATTCCGGAGACCAGGCAACTGGCGGCACAACCCCGTTTCTGTTCAGTTTGTTCCCGGAAATAAAATCAGCGAATCACGGGAAGCTGCACATTGACAGGTGAATTCAGCATGTCAAATTTATTGCAGAATAAGTGCAAGGAAACAACGAAATCAGATTATTGTCGTTGTGATCATGATCACGCCGTGGAAGAAATAATCTTGTGCTTCCAATTAAAATTTGCGCATAAAAAAAAAGAGCAAAATCACGTTCCAGATCTTACATTGTCAGTTGAAAATTTGTATGGCCTTTTGCAATTGTCAGGATAAAGCGTCCGGGGGGGAGGGGAGTCAGTCGGAAAACCGGAAATACGACTATTTTTGTATGCCTTAGATTTACCTGAGATTTTTTATCTCAACCAGAATTCCAACTTTGAGCGCTATCGTTGTACTTGAAGACAAGGCGACGGGGTAAGTACTTTCTATATCGTACAGTTAATTGATTATTACCTCCGGCAAGGATATGCCATTCAGCGTGTTTGCATGTCCTTCTGTCTGTTGGTTTAATTATTGGAATAGACATGCCCTACATTTGAGGAGCATGAGTATTTACACCAGCGATGTTTCAAGATTCGCAAAGAATATTGGTTGTGACAAGTTATTACTGACAGTATGATTGTCTGTACGCTTCTATGAAGTCCCGGTGTCTACACCATGGAAGACCTGCAGACCCTGGGAAATAACGAGACGCTCCAGGCTGAAGTTCAGGCTCTGCAGGACCAGCTCAGCTGCCACGACACGGTTATGTTGGGATTCACATCAGTAAGTCAGAAATGTATTTATTTACTTTCTGTGGTCTTCTTTAATCAGGGTAGCACTTGTCAGTGGCTTAGCACTGTTTTAAAGTTTGTTTATTTGCGCCTTTGTTTATACTCGATGATAATATGTACAATATATATCAACCCATTTAGCTATGACGGCCGCTTTTCGTGGGGGTCGAGTTGGGAGGATAGTCAAGGGGCCAAAATGATAATAATAAATTAATAATTATAATAATAGTACAAACACTTATCGAGTTAAGAAAAACAATAATACAAAGCATAAATACATAATTATAGAAATAAATAACAAATAAAGAAGAGCTCTGGTACATGGTACTTATTATTATGCTAGATTTACATGTTTGGGTTCCAAACTGAGTGGGCTTAGAGTGGACTTGATTGGCAGGGTTTTACCCAGCATGCACTGGATTCAAGGATGTAGTTACCACAAATTTATGAAACACAAACCATGGTAAAGGATCATTCTTAATCGGACAGCAAACGCAATGGAAACAAAGCTCAGAGATAACCAAGCAGGCTTCCGGCCCAACAGATCATGTAGCGACCAGATTGCTACTAATGATTGTAGTAGAACAGTCGGTAGAATTCAATTCGCAGTTGTGTGCCGTCTTTGTAGACTATGAGAAGGCGTTTGATTCGGTCGACAGGAACACCTTATGGAACATCTTCTCTCATTACGGAATTCCTTCCAAGATCATCAACATGATCAAAGTTTTCTACTCAAACGTCCAAGCCCAGGTGTCTCATGAAGTTGACCTAACGGAACCCTTTAACATGACAACAGGAGTAAGGCAGGGGCGCCTCCTTAGGCCCCTGCTGTTCATCGCTGCACTGGGTTGGATTATGGGAGAAACCACAGAGAGGGAAGAACCGAGATACAATGGACGCTATTGAATATGTTAAATGACCTAGATTTTGCAGACGATCTTGCCCTCTTGAGCTACAGCATCGGACAAATGAGAGGGAAGATGAAGAAGCTGGAGGACAATTCAGGCCGGGTGGGACTGATAGTAAATGGCACCAAGACGAAGGAGATGCGCGTTAAAACAGTAGGGAACGCGAAACCAGTGAGCTGCAGAGGGGTAGAGCTGGAAATAGTGAAAGACTTCACCTACATAGGAAGCGTCATCAGTAGCAGTGGTGGTGGTGCTGAAATGGATATCGAGGCCCGCACAGGAAAAGCTAAGGCAGCGTTCGCTCAGCTAAAACCAGTCTTGAAGGCTAGGAACATCTCTCTTAAAACTAAACTGCGAATCTTCGAGCCAAACGTGGAGTCCATCCTGTTGTATGGCTGTGAGACGTGGAGCCTGACACAAGCAAACATCAAGAAACTCCAGACGTTCATCAACGCGACACTCCGCTACATACTCAGGATATGGTGGCCCAGGAAGGTCAGTAATCAAGACCTTAAGATAGCAGGCCAAGAACGAGTAGAGATGACCATCAGAAGACGTAAATGGAGATGGATTGCTCATACACTAAGGAAGCCCTCAGAATCCATCACTAGAACTGCCTTTGACTGGAACCCCCAAGGGACAAGGAGGAGGGGAAGACCGCGGTTGTCCTGGAAGAGAGGTGTCAGGAAGGACCTAACAGCAGCCAACACCTCGTGGCACGAGGTTAAGACGATCGCAAGGGACCGAGAGAGGTGGAGAGCATTCACTGAAGCCCTGTGCTCTAGGACGGGCAAAGAGGATTAAGTCAGTAAGTCAAACCATGGTAAAATAGCGGTGCATGTTTCATCATACAATCGTGTAGTGATGATGCGTTCTATTGTGAAATAAAGTGGCGAAAATTGTACATACTTACCGAAAGTTTAAAATCGTTGATTTCTTTTCTTTTTTTACTTAATTTATGCTGATATAGGGAAGTACCGGTCCGGCTAAGTGTGCTGAGCTGAGTACTTACTGTCTTCATAACAACATCCGTTTTATCGGCAAGGCTGTAGGTATGCCAAATGAGGTAAGGCAGTAAAAAACATAAGTCGCGATCGTTCAATAGTATTGATGGACTATTTTATGTATTTATATTATCTTATTCAAAAGAATACATAAAGGTGCATGCTATAATTAGCTTCTATATGTGTGGGAATGTTTGTATGTATACATTTGCGATATTGAGGTTGCGTAAAATGTGCATTATAAAAACAGCATCCTAAAATCATCTTAAGATATAACTCCTTTTAAAAACTTTGGCTTATCTAAGACATCACGTCGTAATAACTAAGATCTTAGAATCTTAATTGATGGTCTTGTGACAAGCCATGTATCCACTGTACACTGGTAATATCTAAATGCCTAAGCGATAATAAGTCCAGCAAATGTTGTAAAATTACATTTTTCTCCCATACCACATACTCTTTGTGTAATGTCAATACGTTTGTTGTTATATTAGTTGACAGCAAACGTTGTGCACTGCATAGAATTGTTGTGCAAATAAAGGTAACAGTTCATATATTCTAATGTTAGGGCACAGCGCTCTACCCGTACTTGTCATTCCGATTCGCGGTGATCTACCCATTCACTGCCGGCTGTACACTTGTTGTTCCTGCTAGTGAGTCGCCATCGTCTGTTGATATCATGCAAATAATCCAAGAGGAGAGGTAAGTAGAGTTACAGCATATAGATTTTTAAAGTTAAGACTTCTGGGACGAGAGAATTGGTTTGGGTGGTGCTAGTTTATGCTAGGTCTGTATATTTGGGACTAAATGATTGGGCGTAATTTTGGTTTCGTTTTGGCTAGGATGTGATCGCCAGGTATAAATGAAACATAAACTATTATTGTGTATGTCTGGGGTACGTTTTGTCAGCCAATCGTTTATTTTGTGATTCGTTACCTAATGCTGTATCTTTTTCCCAGAAGTTAGAAGTCGATAATTTCTTTTTTTGCGATGTTGTTTCCTGTTTTAAAGTATTGTCAATGAATTATGCAAGAATCCAAAATGGTGAACGCAGTAAGAGCTTTGGGTTAAATGCCATTAATTGGATTATAGAGATGTTGCGTCAATATTACTGGTTGACACATTTAGGGTTTTTTTCCTTTTTCTTGGAACTACTTTCCATAGTAATAGTCGTCTTTATTTCTTTGTTAAGGTGCAAGGCGATCGGCGTATTGTTCGTAAAAGATTGCCATGGCCTGTTTCATAGTCCGCACTTGGGTGATTACGACCTGTCCTCACTTGACCGAGGTAACGAGCGAGGACAAATATACTTCTTAAATAAGCGTCTGTCACATGCAAACATATGAAATCAGTTTTACCATTAGGCCACACCAATTTAATTTGTTGGTTCTCGGATTTTTTCAGAAAAAATATGAAGCGACAGGGCGAAAAAAAATAAAAGTAAAAACAGGTATAGGCATCCTATTATAGGCTTAAATGCTACAAAATGAGCCATGAAGTCAACACAAAAGGCTGGGTTAAAATTTAAACATTGAATTTTTAACTTTTAATCAAACCACTGCAATGATACATGAGCATTTTTCAGTTGATTCAGGACCAGAATCAATTTTTTTTTTTTGCAAATCAGAACAAAATGAAGAGGCGAATCCAAGAACCAACAAATTAAATTGGTGTGGCCTTATGTTTTCATCTCAATTATTTCATTGCACAATTTATTATATCTTTTCCTACCGTTAAACGATTGTATTTCCTGCCCATTGTGTTAAGCAAGTAATCTTTTAAGCAGCATCTAGACTATATAGCTAAAGGAAGTCACTCTATTCTTTATATTTTGATTATCAACCTCAGTAAAATGAATATGTATAATTTGGGGAATCTGCAATGGGAATGTTTAAAGGAAGGCCAGAACCCTTTGGTCATGTTGACTTACAACCGCTACATGTTCAGTTAAAGTTTTTAACATAATATATTCTTTTTTTATTTCTTTGCAGTGCTTGTCATGGGCAACGTCACACCGAAGAGTCTAGTTGACCACGCTGCCAAAGTTCTGCCGACAGCAAAGTTGTTTGTTAGTGTTTTCCTATTTACTACATATGAAATTTTTTCTATAATAACTGACATTTCCTGCTTTGGGTACGCTCGATGGATATCATATTTAGACCTTCACAATACCAGAAAGATTACTATATATCATGCGGTTTAAGGTTGTGATAAAAATGATGATAATAATACTAAACGAATGGTCAAACAAACAAGGTATTGCCAGAAATTAGGAAGAAACGTAGACTATGGATTATAACAATCGGTAGTAGTAGTAGTAGTAAGCCTTTATCTAATCTCGAAAGCTTGTTCGGTACATACCGCTTTTCAACAAGGTCGAGGGTGAGGGCGGGGTCACGGAATTACAAATCAAACCAAAATATAATACAAAATCAAAACAAAATGCAAATCAAAATATAATACAAAAATAAATAGTAAATCATCAGTCCGTTATCAGTCCAAGTTCCTTATCATACTTCTAAATGTTCCCAATGACTGGGCTGCTCGTACATGTGGTGGCAAGGAATTCCACACAGTCGCCCCCGAGTACCTCAGTAAATCATCAGTCCGTTATCAGTCCAAGTTCCTTATCATACTTCTAAATGTTCCCAATGACTGGGCTGCTCGTACATGTGGTGGCAAGGAATTCCACACAGTCGCCCCCGAGTACCTCAGTGACCGCCTGTACACTTCCAGTTGGGGCCTCGGTATGATGAGGTTGTCCAATGTGCTTTGTCTGGTGGATCTGGAGGCTTCATCTCTATACCGGATGAACACCCCTCGCATATGTGGTGGTAAAGAATTGTCCAAGGCCCTATACACTAGCATGGCTTTATGTTGACGATGAAGACTTCTCACGGACTTCCATCCCAGACGAGACAGGACTTCCCGTGATGGTGTTCTGTACGGGGCTTTCAAGATCAATTTTCCTACTCGGTTCTGCATTCTTTGCATCTTATCATGTTGTACCGAAATGGCACCATCCCAGACAGTGCAGGCATAAATTAAGTGCGGTAAAAATATGGTGTTATACAAGGTGACAAGTGCAGATTGTGTGACAAAAGGTTGGACCTGACGCATTATTCCAAGCGCGCGTTTTAGTTTAGACAGAACATGAATAACATGAAAATCCCATTTCAGTTCGCTGTCAACAATTACACCTAGGTATTTAAAAGCCGGGACTACTTCAAGGGGGTTTCCAGTCATTAATACTTGTAACTGGTCTTTTCCCCTAAGCCGATGCCGTGTGCCAATAAGCATGGCTTTACACTTCTTGGCATTGACAGAAAGACAGTTAGCCACAAACCAGTGATGAAGACGGTCCATATCAGACTGAAGAGCCCTTTGTATGGTATGTACTAGCCAGGTATCTGTATCGCAGGTATAACCGCCTTTTGGCGTAACACAGCTTCGCGGGCACGCGGCGCGGTGGCAGCTGGCTATATTACACCGATCGACTTGTTACACCTAACCCTTGAACTTCTAGCTCTAGACATTGTTTAAAGCTATCTATTGACAGTGCCCCTACTCTACTTGGTGACAGCGAGTTTCACTCTGCAATAGTTCTAGGAAAGAATAAATTGTTGAACACCTTAATCCTTGGTTGATAACTCTGGTACTTTAAGGCAAGGCTATTTCTTGTTCTCTTCTTCAGTTTATTAGTCATTTTGTACATAATGCATAGTCTGGACATTTTTCTTCTGTATTCCAATGAGACCCACTGTAGGGTAGGTCTAATAAGTCGTTCGGTGTAATATAGCAAGCTGCCGCCGCGCTGACAGTGGGTCTGATAACTGTTCCTTATAATTAATTAGAACCTTGATCTAGCCTGTATCGTCTATTATGTGTATCTGTATAGCCGGTATAACCGCCCTTCGGCTTGACACACCAGCTTGCTAGGCGCGCAGCGCGGCGGCAGCTTGCTATATTACACCGAACGACTTGTTAGACCTACCCTTTGAACATCTAAATCTAAACATTAATATTGTTTGACGCTATCTAATGATAATGCCCGTGTGCTTGATGACAGCGATAATTCTAGGAAAGAATGACTTTAAGGAACAATTTGGTTGATAACTCTGAAGGCTTTCTGAACCTGTATCGTAATTGGCAAACTCACTTTTCGTGTAGTAATAAGCTACAAAGACGAACATTAATTCTAATCTGCTCGTAAAACCTATGTAAATCATTGGCGCATTATTCTTACAACAGAGTTTTGACGTATCGATCGTTTTCATTGATCCACGATAAAGGTTTGCTATGGCGGCACGGAGTTCGTGTTTTTGACATCAACGGCAGCCGAGAAGGTTACAGAGGGGAAAGGCACCACTGTAGGCAAGTTGTTACAGCATGCAGAGGTAAGTAATGCTACTGCTACTTTACTTTACTCCCTCGAAACAGACGGCTGCCAACAACTTAACAATGGACCAATTCTGCCCAGTTCAGCCAATGGTAACAAAAAAGTAACCTCGCAATAAGTCCATGCTAATTTGATGACATGGATGACATTACTTGGCAAACAAAACCCGATGCGAGTCAGCGAAAAGAGTTGCATTCGACATGATATTATACTAGTCAGAGATGTTGAAAAAATGACTGAGCACACGGAACATAGTATACCATACAATGACAAATAATTTTTTGTTATTTCAGATCTTCTTTAGCTTTGGAAGCTTAGGGATTGAAACATATTTTAGCTTTAGTCTGACTGATTCAAATGACAGAAGCGTGCGATTAAAAGACATTCTACTACACCAGCATTATTTTTAATATATTTTCTTACCTTCTCTTTGCAGCATATTGAGGAATGTCCATTACTACCTGTAGAGGCCATATACCATTCTCCTTAATATACGTATTCACGATTGCAATAATCATTAGCATAACGAATGATGTCTAGGCTGCGTTTGTTTCAATTTTGAATTTTAATCATTATCTTTCATCAGCTCTCTGTCTTTCTCTAATTACTAGATAAAGATTGTCGGCAAAGATGGCCAGGTTGTACCACTAGGCCAGGAGGGAGAGGTGCTTGTGAGGGCGTACTCTCTATTCAACTGTTACCGTGCAGACAAGGAGAAAACAGCTAAAGCGCTGACAGGGGACGGATGGTACAAAACAGGGTATGTACAGCACACAGGGTCAGAATGAGGGTACGTTAGAGATGTGATAGAAGAGAAAATCATTGAGATTTTGCATTTACCTCACGTGTACCACTTAAGTGTATGCAGAACAGACGCAGGTAACCTACTAGGAAGACTACATAGGAAATCTTACAAACAATGTAGGATATACCAGTACCAGTCTAATATCTGTCTAAATTATGTTAAACATATCTTACACATAAATTCCTAATACCGGCTTTATTAAATTTATAAAGAAATGTAGCATTGTTTTAATATCTGTGATTTTTTAGAGAGAATTTTGTAAGTTGGTGAACATTAGTCATCCTGGTACACGGTGATTCAAACTTAACCACTGGATACAATTGAAACAATTTATCAACAGACGTTTTAGTGTCTGTCCGACAGCCTTCATCAGTGTTTATATAAGATTTACGGAAGAAGAAAACAAAACAACAGTCAAGTTGCGCTGAAGAGTGTTATAAGAAAAGGTAACTGACAAAATATTCCAAAAATACATTATATGGAAAACAAGGCAAAGAAAAAATACAAAGACTAGAATAATGAAATACTGTCCAGAAGGTCTAAAAATTGCAATACTATTATATATATGTAGTAATTAAATACATTGTAAAGCATATTGTGACATCTATAATTTTTGTTGAAAAGTAACATCGTATATGCATATGTTAATGATTTTCCTTGTATAATGATTATTATAAACTATTTATGGCTACTCAAGAGAAATTACATTTTGTAGTTGAGAAACCATAGTAGATTATAATAATTATAATAATTATGAACTTATTTGATCATAACAGAATCACCTTTTCTCTTTGATATCCTGCAGCAAAAGTAACAGTAGCTTAAATGATTAAAGGGACTAGATCACTTCCTGTAATGTCGTAAGTACAGTTCCATCCAGCAGAAAAACACGCGAAAATAATACCAAGTCTGGTTTCTT